ACACCCGCACCGATGGGGCCTCAACGACCTCTTGTGGAAGCCCATTCCACACCCTCGGGGTCCTGACTGCCAGGAAGTGCTTCCTGGCATCCAGATGGAACCTTGGCTCCCTGAGCTTTGCTCCGTTGGAGTGCATCCTGCCTTCCTCTGCAGGGGAGAACAGGTCTTTACCCACCTCCGTGTGACACCCTCACATACCTGTATGTCGCCAACATATCCCCTCTGAGTCTCCTCTTCTCCAGGCTGAAGAGACCCAGCTCCCTCAGTCTCACCTCATACCCCATCCCCTGCATTGAATGCTCTTTAAAATCTGTTACACCAGTGAAGAGGGTGTAGCTGGGACAATAGGCCGGCTTTGTCTACTCTTAGCTGCATTCCCGAATGGAAGCCAAACGAACAAGCTAACTTCCCCATCTTCACAGCTCTGCCTCTTCATTATGATAAAATTCCAGTGATTGGCCTCTGTTTCTTGGGAATGCTAACAGACAACGTAACTTCAAGAACTGACCTTTAGGATTGTTATGTAGAAACTTGTAACAATATGCAGAAGTGTTATCAACACAATATAGCACTCCACTTGTCTCTCCCATATTGCTGTAGAGAAAGCAGAGCATGCTACTTTCTATCAATTATAAAAAATGGAGATAGGTGGCTATGATTTCACCCAGAAAAGCAGGTTGCTTACCTGCAACTGATGTTCTTCGAGTGGCCATCTGTGCAGTCACACATATGGGTTCTGCGCCTGCGCAGTGCCTTTGGCCGGAAAGATTAACAGCTAACGGTTTTTGGCGGGAACTCTGCTCCCCCTCCCCACTAGCATTATATAAGGAGCAGAGTGTCCGCCATTTTCCAGTCTTTGAAAGACTGACGTTCGCTCTCTTAATAAAGTTATTGTCATAATGGCAAAAAAGCCAAAAATTTCAGTGGTACGACAAATATCTAAAGATATCCTAGCATCAAAGAGAAGGAAGTCGGACCACCCATGACACCAAGCGGGGTCGGAAGGTGGGTTGTGTGACTGCACAGATGGCCACTCGAAGAACATCAGTTACAGGTAAGCAACCTGCTCTTCTTCGTCGTGGCCTCTGTGCATCACACATATGGGGAGAATAACAAGCTGATCCAGACTTGGAGGAGGGAGGTGTCATCAGCGAAGAATAGAACAGAGGACAGCCCTGCCAAACGAGCAGTCTTGTCTGGCGCGGGCATCAAGTCTGTAGTGTCTGGCAAAGGTACACGGGGTAGCCCAAGTGGCAGCTCTGCAAACATCTTCCATTGGAACTCCCGATGCAAAAGCCGAAGAAGCAGCCACAGCCCTTGTAGAATGACCTCTTGGAGTAGATGGTAAGTCCAATTTAGCCAATTGGTAAGACAGCGCAACTGTAGGCACTATCCATTTGGAAAGTTGTTGTGAAGTGACTGGATAGCCCCGGTCGTGTTCTGAGTATTTAACAAAAAGTCTATTGGAGTGTCGAACAGATTCAGTCCTAGACCTATAAAAGGCCAAGCAACGACGAACATCCAGCATATGCAGGGATCTCTCTATCGGATTCGAAGGAGCTGGGAAGAACGCTGGCAAAATGATCTCCTGCTACATGTGAAACGAGGTAGCAATTTTAGGAAGAAAAGATAGATCCAGTCGTAGAACTACCTTTTCCTTATGAAAATTCAAAAAAGGGGGGTCTACCCTAAGGGCGCAAAGTTCAGATGATCTACGGGCTGAAGTAATAGCTACTAGGAAAGCAGTCTTCCATGAGACAAGGCGTAAATCGATTGTTGCCATGGGTTCGAAAGGTGGTCGAGTCAGTGCCTGCAAAACCACTGAAAGACTCCAAGTGGGCATTAAAGGCCTTATTGTCGGATGGAGGTTACCCAATCCTCTCAAAAATCTTTTAATCAGATGTTGAGAAAAAATAGAGAAACCTTGAACAGTTCCACGGTAGTGAGAAATCGCTGCTGTATATACTTTTATGGAAGAAGGTTTAAGTCCAGACTGATGTAATTCGAAGAGGAATTGAAGAATCTGCTGAATTGATGCCAATGACGCCGAAAATGAGAGAGATTCAGCAAAGCGGGAGAATCTACGCCATTTCACTGCATACGATTTCCTAGTGAATGGTCTTAATGCAGATTCAAGAATATATAGCAGATCTGGATGTAAAGTCTGTGGAGTAGAGGTAGTGGGGATCGCCGGTGGCATCGACACTGGTGTAGTACATACAGTTATCGGATCCTCCAGGCAGTCAATTTCAGCGACAATAGGTCTGGGTGTCATATCGTGCCTCTCTCCTGAGTAATGAGATAAGGAAGGAGAGGGAGCTGAAGAAAATCTTCCCGAGAGATGTGAAGGAGAGTTGAGAACCATGGTTGACGCGGCCGCCAGGGGGTTATCAGTAGCCCTGTGGCCCCTTCATGAATAATCTTTGCCAACACTCTCATGATGAGGGAGATCGGCGGGAAAGCATAAAAAGTCAGGTTGGTCCAGGGGATCATGAAGGCGTCCCCGGACAACCCCTGTCCTATCCCCACTCTGGAGCGATAGTTCATGCACACCCTGTTCTGTCGGGTGGCAAACAGGTCTATGTCCGGTGGACCCCAGAGGTGGAACCGTCTGTCGCGAACCCGATGGTCCAGTTCCCATTCGTGTGACCGCGACATATGTCTGCTTAAGAGGCCTGCCTCTACATTGTCCATGCCCGCAAGATGTACTGCTAGAAGAGTGATACCTCTCGGTATGCACCAGCCCCAAATTTTGATGGACAGACGGGCTAGTTT